GAAGATGAAATACATATGGATTTTTTATATGCGCTAGTGTGGCTGATTTCAACCCTTTGAGTTCTGCTTTCAAAAACTATTCTGAACCACTCGTGGGATTTCACTAGAATTCCGTTTAGATTGAGTTTATTGAGAAACTTCTCATGTATGATCTTGACTTAGGTCACAGAATATTCCGCTTGGATTATGCATCGACAATCTTTCTATGAAGGCTGTAAATGGCACTAACGATGGAAAGCCCAGCACAAAGACAACGCTGTTTAGTATAAAATGAGCTGTTTGCATTCAAAAAAAATCAGAAGTTGTGCAAGCATCGACTATTCAGAACTTAATGAATACAAGGTAACGGGACGATAGTTTTCCATATTATGTGTATCAAGTTTTTTTTAGAATAAGAGAAACAAGAGTATCCTTCAAACTAGATAGATTGAAGAAAGAAATAACATGTGAAATCTTCTAAACAGGTTCAGTGCACTCTTCTTTCGATACTCATCCACCATTGGAGCAAGTGACCGAGAGTATAAAAAGAATTGACGAATAAAAACTGTACATGGTATGTACAAAAACAAAATTCCAAAACAAATTTTCACTTTATATACAGACTAATCCAAAGTACCTTTTTAATTATTGAAGATACGAAATCGGTCAAATTGGTAAACTAAGAGTACTTTTTACACTCATTAAAATTCAATAATGAAAAAACAATTGAACATCACTTTTTTAACTTTTTGAGTGAAGTATCTTGTTTTGTAATGGGAGATCCTGTATGTTATTTTTTTCAGGTAAGAAATAATATTCCAATTATTAAAGTATATTTCATTTAATTTAGTAAACTGAAAAATAAACTAGTTATGAGGGNATATTCGCTTTCAGCAAAAACAGTACTTTGGATTCATAAAAGCCAAAAAAAGTAATAAAATTGTTACACTTTTGTCCATCATGCACACTTCTTGAATAATCAATAATGATACCCATAAACCAGAAATAATACACGCTTATAATTCAACAAGAGGTGCAGTTGATACTGCAGAAAAACAAGAAGGTGGCCAATGTGTTTCTTTTGTAATATGATGATAAACATGGACATCATAAACTCCTACATAATTTATTGTAATGATATTATTTCATATAGAGGAAAGCCGATAGAAAGAAATGTGTTCATGACTCAGCAAACTTTACGTATAGAAAATACACCCAACATGAAACGTGACCAAAGGGAAATTATTTCTGAAGTATTGAAAGAAGACAAGGAGAAAGGGGATCACGAAATGGCAGTAATGGGAAACCAAAAAGGCCCAAGAAAATACTGCCACTCGTGCTGAACAGCAAAAAAAAAGTGACATGTTGTTCGAAGTGCAATAAACCAATTCGTGGAAAACACACAATTAGAATTTGCCCCAAGTGTTTCACTCAATGTATATATATTTTATAAAATAATAATAATATTTGATTTTAGTCATTACCAAGGCATACTATAGTTTTATGTCATCATATTATTTTATTTTTCCATTAATGAATCGTTTTTGTGACTTTTTTCATCCTTTTATTAGAATATTGAGATACTTTCATCTTGATTTTCCTAGGTACGTAAATTTTATGTATCAGTGTTCTAGGATCAATGAAAGTACTTTTCATTAGTTGAGCTTTCATAAATCCCCTATTCTTTACTTCACGAAAGAAGTTATTATAGGTAGGGTTTCATAATTGCAACTTAATTTTTCAAACGAGAAAACATCACATACAGGGTCTTATATCAGAAAAAAAGTATTTTACTCAAAAATGCAATACTCTGTTTTTTTCTAATTTCTGCATCTCAATAAATAAAAAAAATATATTACTGGTCCGTCCATTCAACCGATTACGTATCTTCAACAGTAACAAACTTAGTAATGATGCACCTGTTTTTTCCAAAAAGATATTTTTGTCAATGTGTATTTATCAGAAATAATCTATTTTATTTTTTCTTCAGAACTGCATTCATTTGAAATTTGTTGAAACCAATTCCATTTCTAACTGCATTTTATCGTTTTTCAGAATTTCATGTCATAATTTTTCTTCTTTATATCACTGTATGATTTTTGTAGTCAGTCCCTGATTATAAGCATACCATGCTGCGTGGAATGATAACTGAGAGGTGAACTGAGAGGTGAAAATTGCTTTTTCTATCGCTTCAGTTAACAATACTTACAGTTGCTGGAGATGCTTGCTCCAAGNATAATATTTGATTTTAGTCATTACCAAGGCATACTATAGTTTTATGTCATCATATTATTTTATTTTTCCATTAATGAATCGTTTTTGTGACTTTTTTCATCCTTTTATTAGAATATTGAGATACTTTCATCTTGATTTTCCTAGGTACGTAAATTTTATGTATCAGTGTTCTAGGATCAATGAAAGTACTTTTCATTAGTTGAGCTTTCATAAATCCCCTATTCTTTACTTCACGAAAGAAATTATTATAGGTAGGGTTTCATAATTGCAACTTAATTTTTCAAACGAGAAAACATCACATACAGGGTCTTATATCAGAAAAAAAGTATTTTACTCAAAAATGCGATACTCTGTTTTTTTCCAATTTCTGCATCTCAATAAATAGAAAAAATATATTACTGGCCCGCCCATTCAACCGATTACGTATCTTCAACAGTAACAAACTTAGTAATGATGCACCTGTTTTTTCCAAAAAGATATTTTTGTCAATGTGTATTTATCAGAAATAATCTATTTTATTTTTTCTTCAGAACTGCATTCATTTGAAATTTGTTGAAACCAATTCCATTTCTAACTGCATTTTATCGTTTTTCAGAATTTCATGTCATAATTTTTCTTCT